CAAGTACAATAAAACAGGTCAATAATTTCATTTTATAATTGGACTGTATTCTATTTCCACTCCTTTATGGAAGACAGCTTATTCTGAACTCTGCTTCATATGCCTCTCTCCCAGTGTACCTTCTTGAGGGAAGGGGGCAATCATTCCAGTAGCTATTCATTTTCATTCTGAAGATACCACCCTTCCCACTTGCTTAGAAGTATTAGCTTTAAAACTGTGATTGGTCTACAACCTCGAAGTGTACTGCCAACCAATTCTAAACTGACGCAACTCATCTTAATATGCTCCACAAAGTTTCAAGTCAATTCTCCATTTCAGGCTGTCTCCTTATTGCGGTAGTATAAGGATGTAGCCACAGTATTACAGCACGAGGGAGGCAGCTAGCTACTACAAAATATGCTCCTCGCTTTATAATGCAGCAGTGTGTCCATAAAAGTGAATCATTGATTATTATTTTTCCTAAATCTTAAGTTTTTACAAGGTGTGCTATCACTAGTTTTTCAGTGTACCTCACTGTATCAAGATTAAACCCCCCCCCCCCCCCCATTTTTTAAATTGAGAAATGCCTGGAAAGTCCTACAGTATCAATATTGTGACATGATTAAGAAATAACTTATTTGTTCAAAACTCAGGCTTTCTTCTGTCTCTTAGCCCAGTTGTAGCAACATCGGGAGTGGGGGACAAAGGGAAGAACTCTTGTATATTCTGGGAGTGTCCTTACACCCTTCATTTGAAGCAGAGAGAGAGAGAGAGAGAGAGAGAGAGAGAGAGAGAGAGAGACCTGGTTCCTGGGACATGTCCTCTCTTGCTCCCTCCCATCAATTCAGGCCTGAGGATATATAAAAGATATGATAGAAGGCCAAACCCGATGTGACTTACAACACGTTGTGAACAATCCCTGCATTTTATTGTTAAATAAAACAACTGCAGTAATTGGAGGATTCCCCCCCCCACACACAACTGCTGCACACAGAGAAGGATGGTTTATCTGTTTCCTCTCTAGGCATGGTACAGACCAAAATTAGCTCCAAAACATCCCTTTCAGGTAGTTAATGGTTAGCTTTATGGCTGATCAGTGAACCATCCCACTCCAACACTAACCAGCCGGATAAGTACTTGGAGTACTTAGTTTGTTTAGGGACAACAGACAAAAGCCTAAACTGACATCAGTGTTTCTTGGTCAAGAATCTCTGATCTGAAGCTTTGAGATTGGCTGTGGTTGCTGTGAAAACAGTGCAATCTATCCTTGAGAAATGACTCTAGGTAAATAATTGCTGCAGAAAGGAAAAGTCCACATCATGGAAAAAACCAATGCAACAGGTTCTCTCTTAGTGTCCCAAATGCATATGGATTTTCTCTGGAATTTAGAGCATGACACTATTTCTGCATGGAAATTCTCCCACGCCTGCTTCATGTGCCTCAGCTGGAGCGTGGGAGGACTTCGTTTGATGCCAAAATAGAAAAATAGTGTAACAGCATAAGGGAATTCACAAGGTTTATGATGAGTGGAAAAAGGCTGAGCTGCTTTCTACATTCATCTGATGGTTTCCCACTGTAAAACCCTCTCATTAATTATATAGATGAAATGGTGATATTATTAAGATGCATATATGTGTGACTATGTGGATATAAGTAAGGGGAAAGAATGGCTGTAGGAATTAGCCTTACACATACAACGCCCCGCATTCTCTGAATGGATTAATAAATAATTGTGAACATATATTTCAGTGTTTCAGTGGGAATATATATTTTTGTTTGATCTGTTTTTCCATAGCAGCAGTTGCTGTGCTATTTACCTTACCCCAAAAAACCCTAAAATGAATTATTCTACTGTAATTACGAATATTAATAACACAGGCAGAGAATAAATTAGACCATTTGATGTTAGCTAAGTGTAAAAATATTCATGCAATAAAATCCTGTGGGTGTGAAGTAAATACATTTATTTTCATTAGAGGAATGTCAGAATAACTACTTATGTCCTTTGGGGGAAAGGAGCATACTATACCTCTTTATTAGATACCCCAGCCCTGTACAATGTTAATATTTCATTCTGTTCATATTCAAGCATCCTGGTCTGCACTGCTGTAGGATAGCGAACACTTATGCAGGAGCAAAACTCAAACTCCAAGTTAGATTCCAGATTCACTTCCAAGCCAGCTCTAATCCACCAGCCTTTAGAACTGCATTTGGAACTTGGAACTTAATATTCATTCATTCATTCATTCACACGACATCATAACCTGATGGAACACTTGCTAGTAAAAGGCATGGTGCAAACAGAACTCCCTTTTAAGGGCTTGTTTTCTCTCTGCTCAGCCTGCAAAGCGTGTTCTCCCTCATGGAGAGCACGTGTTGCGGTGGGGGCTAACGAGACACCTCACTGTTGCTAGGCAAATGCTTTGGCCATCTTTTAAGCAGGGGCGGGCTGTTACTGGGGAAATTTAGATGTTGCCATTTATTGATTGACAGCCCTATTTGTTAAATACATTGCACGCAGTGACGAGCTTCCTCTTTCGCTGCGTGCTTCGGATCACCCGCCCTCCCTTCCCTAATGTTAGGCTGTTTGCTTGACCTTGCTATGCCTGTCATGGGGTCGTCTGCTTTGGGGCAGGGGCCCGGTAGGAATTTTGTCCATTTGGCTGATTGGCTGGTGCCATTTGGTTTTTACCTACTGCGTAGCAAATCATCACAACTTGTAAGGTTGCGGTTAGGCATTGGTTTGGGAATTGGTTGGTGGAGGGGTATGGAATTGGCTGTGCCTGCCCCTCCAAAATGCTGCTGCTGCTGCAAAGGTTTTCTGTTAAAGGAACCCAGGGGCTCCCCATGCTTTTGTCCGAAACCCCCTGGTAAGGGGCTAGGGGAGAGATGAGGCATGGTTCCCAGTCCCGTGTCTCTCCCCAGGTGACTTACCCTTTCTGACTTAGTGGGGGGTGCAAATGTCAGAGCTGTCCCCGTGCGGGGTCAGTTAGTGCTACCAATGCCTAAGCAACCACACACATTGCTGTAATTTTAATAAAGTTGTGGCCAAAATTATGCCAAAAACCTTAAACAAAAATTATGTGTTAATTCTGTTTTTCTTTGGGGTGTCTGGGGACCTCGACGCACAACAGCACCACTCCTCAACAGAGCTTGGGTCTAGTGTACTTTATGCTGGGTTAACATAAACAAGCCTAAATTCCTGTTTTTTGTCTCCACGCCCTAAATCCCCAAACAGGTGTTTTACGATGGTGTTTGCTTGCAATTTTTTGCTGGCAAGTTGAAATTTTGTTTCCTTCCCTCCTTCCTTACACAAACTATATGCTGCTAATAAATTATATATTATGTCACTTTTCAGATCCTTCCTTCATTATTGCAAAGTGTGGTTTGAGTTTCCGAATGTATCACATTCAAAGCAGGGTTTACATGTGCTTCTTTGATTTCATTTTTCATCAGTATAGAACTTAGTGTCAAAAGCTCACTCCTAGCCTTTTGAGAGGGAGCAACCATCCTAGCTACTATTTAACAATTATATGTGAATGCACATGGCAAACGTTGGCACAATGCCTGATTTAAATCATGGTTTGATGCTTGTGTTTGGCAGATTAACACAAATAATGGTTAATTCCATGTGTCTTCCTGTTATCCTGTCCTGCCGATGCCTTAAGACTTTCAGAGGAAGCTCTTTTTGTGTACCACTGCTTGATGAGGAGCACCATGTGATGATGCAACAAAAGGCATTCTCTTTGGTGTTGCTCTGCTTGTGGAATCTTCTTCTTCTTTGGCAATCACTCATAGCCGAGTAAGATTGTCTTCCATGAAGAAATCGTGGATAGAGCTGCCAAACTGCTCAACTGCCTCATTCCTTGAGTCAGAGCGACTGAATCTGTATCTACTGCCCATGTGCCGGTTCATGACTAGGGGCTTCCAGATTTCACAGTCCTTCCCCCATTACCATTTGCCAGTCGCCATGGGACTTTGAGGGTTTGGGTTTGGGATGGGTTTTTGGAAGATGCCTGTGCATGAATTTGTTTTATGTGTGTAGATCAGTGGTGCTGACCAATGCACATTCTTCGGAGTAAGGCATGAATATCACAATGACCGGTAGATTCTTATCTGTTGCAGCCTTCGTCTGCCTTCACAGCCGTTGTAACATGCCACTTGTTATCTTCTGCCTGTTCTGCCATTGAGAACTTCTTGGGTCATTCTTTGTCTAGCTCCTTCCCTTTGACCTTACTGCCTTGGTGACCCTGCTGGGAGGACGAGACTCCTGACGGCTTTGCTTACAAGGGTCATAGGAATGTGCAAGCCCACTCACCACGACAAGGTGATGATCCAATGAGTGAGGCTTGTGGAAGGCCCTCCTTTTAGAAGCATCATTGGCACCAATACTTTTTGGCACCCTCCATTCAGATGTCGAGATAAAGAACTGTACAACTTTAAGAAGACATCTGAAGGCAGCTCTGTATTGGGAAGTTTTTAATCCTTGATGTTTTACTATGCTTTTAGGTATGCTGTAAGCCACCCACCAAACTAATAATAATAATAATAATAATTTTAGATACATACAAAGAAAAAGAAAAACAGCTGAGCTGTGAGGAGAGAGTTATTCCAGCTGAGCTGTGAACCTGCTGGCTGAGCTGGAGATCTGCTGGATCCTAATTCCCAGAAGAACTAGGTTAGGGTTGCAACCTTAGATCATTAGTCAGTTTATGATAGCTCAGCCTGCTCTGTAGTTTCAGTTGATCTTTTTGCTTAAGTTGGTTTTACGATTTACTAATGTGTCTTTTGTGGTTTTACTTCCTCTGTATTCTGTACCGCACCCTGAGATGAAAGCGGAGTATAAATAGTCTTAATAATATAAACAAAAAGATTTGGATATAAAAACAATTCATGGGTGGATTTGGCATCCAAATGTACCCATTCCCTCTACCCAAACTTATATGCCATTTTCATCATCTGCTGAGAGGCGGCAGCCTACCAGGTATTGGGCTGGGGTGGGGGTGGGAGTGGTATAAACTGATATGTGTGTGTGTGTGTGTGTGTGTGTGTGTGTGTATACACACACACACACACACACACACACACATACATACACACACACACACACACACACACACACATACACACACACACACACACACACACACACAGTGGTACCTCGGGTTAAGTACTTAATTCGTTCCGGAAGTCCGTTCTTAACCTGAAACTGTTCTTAACCTGAAGCACCACTTTAGCTAATGGGGCCTCCTGCTGCCGCTGCACGATTTCTGTTCTCATCCTGAAGCAAAGTTCTTAACCCAAGGTACTATTTCTGGGTTAGTGGAGTCTATAACCTGAGGTACCACTGTGTGCGTGTGTGTGTGTGTGTGTGTGTGTGTGCGCGCTATCTCTCGTACTCTTTGCTCATACTTGGAGAAGTATCTTGCCTGTGTGTATGGCTGCGCCACAGTAAGCTATTGTTATATACGGAAGATAATTTGAAGCAGAACATTGTTCGCATGCTGGACTCTAAAACTGAGGTGGAAAATGACTGTGGTTTATGTTTCCTTGAGCCAGGGCAGCAAACTAACACAAAATTGATTCACAATGACAGGAGCCAAATGCAAAATCAATGCAAAGAAGAGAAGATAATGTTCACATTCAATATACAAACGAGAAAATATTGCCATGCAGCTATGCAGTTACAGTTGTTATTTAGGCCCAAAGGGAGCAATGTTCTTCAAGTATGGATCCAAAAGACTTGTCCTAAATTTAAAAGTGACCCTGTATCTTTTTGTGTCCAAGGCTGAGGGGGAAAAAAATTCTCACCATGGGCCTAGGTTGCAGAAAGAAATAAGTAAATAAATACCAGGGGAGCAAGGATGTAGGAAAAATGGGGGTCCTCCAGTTGGATGGCCACTGCTGCTTCTGAGCACCTTACTTGCTGTGCACCTCCTGCTGCCCAGGCAGAACCCTTTGTGCTAATTGGCTCTCAGCAGCAGCAGTGTCGCCACAGGCTGGCAGAAGAGGAAGAAAGTGGCCAGGAGCTGCACTGACTGGCCTGTGAATTGGGATGCCAGAGACAGCGGCCTTGAAGCTTGCAGCAAAGGAACAAGCAGAGCTGGAAGACTGCAGAAACCTCTCCTGGCTGCCCTTCTGTGACTCACCTAGGCTTCCCATCCACAGCCTCTCATTACACTATATTTCACAGGAGCCCTCTGTCCGTGACCATGTGAAGTATTGTGCGACAACAGAAAAGTGCACCCGTACATATAGAAAGAAGTGCCATGTTGTGAACTACTTAGAGGTATAGAAATTTTCTTAAATAAATAATTTTCACTATGTACAGGAGCCATGATGCTTGAGATATGTCTGGCTAATAAGCTGTCAGCAGATGAACAGTTTTTAGTTTATTTATTTTTTTTATTTCGTTAAATCAATTTGCCTGTTACCAATACTGCATGTTTTTCAGTATTGATCATTTGAGACACTGAAGGAACTGTAAGGTAACTTGCAATCTAATTAAACGTTCCACTTGTTGGGGGGGGGAGCGGTCTTTGATATGTTTCTTTTCATTCCCTGTTACAGCAACACTGCAGAGCACGAAAACAAAAAACAAAAATCCAACGTGCTCTTAATAACTAAGAGCTCCAACAGTATTTCCCCATGTTTGCAATTTGTAAACAGTCTTTGGCTCTTTGTCTGAATACACACCAAACCATTCACAAGTGCCAGATCCACTGCAAGGCAAACTAGGCTATGTGAATCCATCACGACTCCATCTAACGATGGGTCAAAATACAGCTGTGAGTATTGAACTGACTTTCCTTGTGCAGGTGATATTTGGGGGAAAAAAATCAAAGAAAGGGGAATTTAAAAAAATGGATGGATTGAAGCAAGTTTTCGTTTAGAAAGCAGCCAAATAGATACCACCACTGAGCTTGGCAGGCGATTTCTAATCCTGAAATGCTTGGCTTGTGTTGAGAGCATCGTGATCATGGCTAGTCATTGCACTTCCATGCTGCGTGAAGTCCCATTAGTATCTGTCAGCATAGCATCACCCAAGCTGAGACTGCTGTCTGGGTGTTTGACCCACATTGACATTGTGATCCTTCCTTGTCTCTGTAGCCTGCTCTCATGTGAGCTTTCTTTTTTGCAGGCATAAAGGTCAGCTTTCTGACACCAAGCTAGTATTTAGCTTATGTATCTATTGATTTACAATACCTCTTATTTACAAAAGGTCTCTCTGCATTTGATTGACTGCTTTAAATCCTGGACGCGTGAACAAATACTGAATGTGGTAAAGCAGTAGAACTGAGGGCAGCAAGCTGTGTTGTTTGGTTTGTCAACACTCCTATTGTATTCTCATATTATTGTTTGCAGACACTTATGGGATAAAAGGCTTGCTTGCATCTCCTCAAATTTCAGCAGGCAAAAGACATTGTGTTCCAGTTAGGGTTAGAACCTGGAAGATATGAGAATTGGAGATGATTCTCCCTGTGTGGCAATTGAAGTTTGCTGTGTCTCAGCCAGGAAAATGGGAATAATACTGGGCTTCTCCATAAGGGCCTGAGAAATGCATTATATTAACAATAGAGATGGGCTATAAAATCAGTTCACAACACCGCTGTTGCTGCACTTAAGTCTTCCTTTTAAGATTTATAGATTTGTTTATGTGTTGTATCATTTAAGGAAACAATGTTTAGAGTCCTTAAAAGCATATTTGCAGAGCAATCCAAAACCTGGCTGAGTATCGGTGGGGCATGGTGGACTGGTGGAGCTACTTCTGCATTTGCAGTCCAGTTGTTCATTTCAACTGGGGCAGAAGGGGATGGAGCTAGCATAGGGATTGGTCCAGATGCCATAAAGCGATAACAGGTGGGCCAACTCAGGCAGAACTGGGGGCTCTGTGTGGATGGAGACCTCTGTGGAGGGAGACACCCACCCCATCCAAACCTGCCCTCAGCATGACAGACTGGGAGTTGGTTCTAGCAGCTGTTATTCAGAAGCATTGTGGCCTTCAACCATGGCAGCAGATCATAGCTAGTAACCAACCAAAACCCTTTCCTCCATGAATTTGTCTAAACCTCTTTTAAACCCATCCAAGTTGGTGGCCATCATGGCCTCCTGTGGAAGCAAGTTCCATACTTTAACTATGCACTACATAAAAAATACTTTCTTTTATCTGGATGTTCCAACATTCAGCTTTGTTGGGTGTCTACAAATTCTAGTGTTATGAGAGAGTGAGAGACCAAAAAACAACCACAACCTCTAGTCATTTTCCCCATGCTATGAGACTACCTTGTACTATTATATGGTGCAAGAAGCTTCGTGAGTTTGGTACTAAGGACAATTTGCCAGAACCTCAGATACAGGAAGATTTCTTGCAGTTATTCAGTAGTGTCTAAAAGGAGATATTGTTTAGAGAGATTTTTTAAGTGGCGTTGGACAGTTACCTTAAAGATTATCAGAGGAAGTATGAAAAACTGACAGGGGAAAGGGCCATAGCTCAGCGGTCAATAACATGTTGTCCATTCTTCTAGTTAAGATTAAAGTTGAGTATTAGAGCTAGGAAAGATTTTCTGGGAGCTGCAGAAGCCACTGCCAGTCAAAGTACAGTCCTGGGCTAGATGGACCAAGAACTCAGTTCAATATAAGAGAGCTTCATGTGTAGATAAATCTCACCAACTGAAATTAGTGAGATTTAAATATGTGTAACTTTGGCTGTGTCCTGAGAATTCACAATGTATGGTGTAGTGATTAACTTGTAAAGTGTGGTTGCTAAATGCAAAGTGTACAATGGCTATATTTTAGTATCTTCAATAGTTACTTCCTAGAAACTGTAAATGTCTACTTTGTTATAGGTAGAACTTCAATCAGCAGCAGCAGATGCTTTCATCCACAACCCTTTGTCTATCTGAAATCCTTCTTCCCTTTTCATCAGAAGAGCCTCACATTATTCTAGCTCCTGTTGGTTCACCTTCTTCAATCATTTCCCCTCACCAGCTACCCACTGAGCAAGCATCTAATTGAAACATTTTTCACTTTTTAAAGCAATCCTGCCTCGTCCATAGCCTCAGAACCCTTCCCAAATTTCTTAGTATGGAAGAGTGAGAGACTTTTGTTTCAGCTCTGACCACCACCACCCCTTCACAAATAGTCAGTTTGCTAGGATGTTTTGAAACAGCTCTATCGGCTGAGGTTAGTCTTGGAATCATGTCGTTCCCCCTTGCAATAGGCGTAGCAAGTCCTAAAACATCAATCTTGTATATGAATTATATATGTAATAATAATAACAACAACAACTCTCTCTTTTAGGATTTGATACCTACTTTACTTCCCGCACACTGGAGAACAACAGAAGAAATGTGTGGTTTGCAGAATACTGGGAAGAAAACTTCAATTGCAAGTTAACGATTAGTGGGTCAAAAAAGGAAGACACAGATCGTAAATGCACGGGTAATTTCATTCTCTTTGTCCTTCCCATGATGCTGTATGTGGCCGGCATAAAATGTCTGTGTAGCTGGTTGGAGATAAGTTGAGAAAGGGAGACAGAGAGAATTTTTATCTGTTTTATAAAAATTGGAACTCAGAAGCACAAGTCTTACAAAGAAGAAGAAATAGATTAAGTAAAAAAGACACTTTTTCTGTTTCTGCCTGTCCATCCTCTAGAAACTGACATTTTTCATTGATTTTTGTGCTCATGAGAGAGAGAAGTGTTTGTACCATTTTGAATGTTTCCTTTATACATTTATTTCGTAGAGAGAAGTTGTAATCTGGGAAAGAGCAATGCTTTCTCCTGGTCTGGAACTGGAATAGATTTGAGTAGGGAATGCATCTCTCTTTGAGGGGAGATACCTATATAAGATGTGAATATATGTAAGGATATAAGAGGAGCCCTGCTGGGATCAAGACTGACATCTACCTAGTCAGTCTTTTTCTTTAGACAGTGTGAATGAAACCTAGAAGTTCCATACAGTAATCATGTTTAGTGGCCATTAATAGACCTTTCTTCCATGAATTTCTCCAGTTCCCCTTTATAGCCACCTGCATTTGTTGAATCAACATATTTTTATGGTGATTCCATGAATTAGGCATGTGTTGCTCTCCTGAATCTCCTGA